TTCCTGGTGTTGGTTCATGTTCTTGTTCTTTTCTTTCTTCTCTAGTGATTCCAAATGTAGATCCCTCTGTTCCAGTGTTAGGAACTGATGTTCAGATGGAACAGAGTCTGAGACTAGGATCAGACTTGAATATATCTAAACACCTCAATATATCGTAATTACTATAGTATCGCAATGTATCGTATCGTTTGCCCAGTATCGTGACACGGTGTCTTACAAAGGACATGAAATAACTGCGACTGAGAGTCATTTACAGAGCTGGGAGTTTGTGAAATATCAAAACAAAAATAATCAATATTAATATCTAAAAAAATCATGATCAATATCACCAGAGTCGACATAATTACAAACGTAAACACTGGTTCTTTAATTATGATCTGAAATGTGAGTAAATGTCAGTGTCATTGATTGATACGAACGCAGTACTGGTTGAGTATTTGAAGTATTTCCTGGGGGTTCTCTCTCTCTAACTACAGAACTCAGCGGACGGCGACTCGGACGATATTGAGGACATTTATCAAATGTCACACCGTTGTCTCCAGAGACACAAACACCTGGAACTGGACTTTGATGTTGAATCAGTATTCGTGTTGCAGTTTTTGGCCTGCGTGCGTGCGTGACAACAGCATTCAGCAGGTTTTTACCCAGTGATAAATCGGACCACTTTATTTAAAATGGAGTCAGGTGGATGAGGGGGAAAAAAATAAATAAATATAAATCCACTTCTCTGGGAGGGAAAATAATTCCTGTTGAAGCAGAGAATCATCTCAGGCTTTGAACAAACTCACCGTCCGTCGTCTGAGCTGCAGAACCGTTCTCCAAAAGGACTTTTCATGCTCCTCTTTATTTTATTTATTTTTTATTTTTTTGTAATACTCACATCTCAGCAGCTAACAAGCTTAGCGACGCTCTGAACCACAGCAGCGACAACAAAACTCAGGTTTTTTTATTTCTTTTCTTTTTTTTTTCACCTTGGTTTATATCCATTAAAATCAGAATAAAAACGGCTGAATACTGCCCCCTAACTGTCGTCGCTCCACTTACCCTTTTGTTAAGTTATGCAAATCAAAACAGGGCGCAGCAGGAGAGCCAATCAGAATCCTTCTGCTTTTTTTACACTCGTCCTTTTGTTGTGCAGAATTTTTCTCGTTTTTTTTAAGAACTATTTGCTCTCTGTCATTGTCAGCCACTCCACCACTGTGTGGCGCTGTAAAAAAGAGAGAGAACCTGGGTATGAACGAAGCCACTGTGATGGATGGTGAGCTTCAGTAGTGGCCTACAGGGGGCAGCACTGAGTACTGACGTTAAGCAGACTTGTTTGGCTAGTTAACATAAATGCTAATGTCCCAGCCCTCAACAGGGCTAATGTGGCTACTTGAACCATTATGCTAACAATCCGTGACGATAAACTCCCAACTTCCTCTCTGTGTTTTCTTATTTTCCTTTTATAGCGTAATCTGTTGACGTTAAATATTACCAGTGTTTAAAAGAACCACTAGGTGGCAGCACTGTATCAGATCAGCAGTTCAATCAGCTAATGAAGTCCATAGAAGAAGCCAGACTGAGGACTGTGACAGTACCAGCGTCATCTTGTTCAAGTTTGTTAAGATCGACGCTCGAAATATAAGCTAGTGCAGAGAGACGACGGTTAACATGCAATGTGCTAGCACGCCGCTAATGCTAGTCCATACTATCGAATTGTCCCACTAACATAACGCTAACTTACTGACTCAAAAGCTGCTTGCATGCCATATGCTGGAGTGGCCCCCTAGAGGGGAGCAAAGTTATTGCAGGTAACGAATTTAATTTTCTTTTTTCTGTAACTGTTTTTTTTCTTTTGAGACTCGAGCTGTGAATGTGGCAATGTGACTGGGGCTTGACAATAGTGCTATCTACCAAAGGGGGCGCTGCAGGAAACATGTAGTTTCTGCCTCTTCTTCCGTCATATATTCTAACTTAGGGCCTGAACTGGGGTTGAGGCCCGGCAGCTGCTGGTGAGCAAGAAAGAACAGAGAGATATATTAGCGCTGGCGTACAATTGAATATAATTATAATGTCGTTAAGTGTAATTAATCACAGTAGGTTATGACTTAACTGTAATGAAAATGCTTAACCTTAATAAACCATTTAATCAGAACCGGTTCTGCGGTTCTTTATGTTCTACGGGTTCTTCTTCCGTGGTGTGAATCACGTGTGAAGTGTTTCAGAGGGAAGTGGCAGATTTTTTTTTTTTTCCTCTCTCTCTTGGTGTTTGTGCTCTAATTGTCCTCTCCGTCGCCACCTTGATGACACATCGCGGCTCTTTGTTTTCAGTCTTTCCAGCGGCTGCCCGCTCTGATAAGTTCTCATTAATCTTCCTTACAACCTTCATTACAGCTGCCACCTCCGCCGCCGTGCCCGTTCTCTGGGTCCTATCTCCTCCTCGACCTTTATCTCTGCCCAGCATGCCTTCTATAATCCCTCACCCTCCTCCCGACGTCTTCTTTACTTTATCGCCCACTTCTCGCCCTCGTCGTCTGGACGTCGTCTCGGAACATTTAAATTCACAAGAGCCAAGAATTACGTTGAATTCGTCCGATGTTGGTGCTACGCTGGACTCGGAACGTAAAGGGAACCGCTTAATGTGGCGATCGTTTTTGTCGCCGGTCGTGGGTCGATCTGGTTTATCTGGCTAACCAATCAGTGATGAGAGCAATCAATCTGACCAATCTGATTGGTCGACATTTTTTCTTATCTGTTAAATTGTTTTGTCACGGTTACTGCAGTGTTGGTATCTTGCCCACAGCGAGATCACACCGCCCCCTGGTGGTATCTGATTGTGGGGAGATTCTCTGGACCCTTTGGGTTCATCTCAGAGTCAAACATACAGGTGAGGGTTGGTCCGAGGAACTGTTGGGGGTGTAATTCCACCCTTGGCCAGTGACTGTTGGGATTGGCTCCACCCACGTTCCTGAAAAAAGAGAGCAATTAATGAACCGATTGCAATTTTTAGTTCAGTTCGCATCATAGAACAATCAATGAAATTGCAATTTTTAGTTCAGTTCGCATCAGATTTTTGCTCGTTTGTTTGTTTGTTAAGTGTGATTTGTTGATTTCAATTTTTTGACAAAAATTTAACTTAATCGTCAGCATATACGTAAAGTCTGTAATGAAAACTGGTTCCTTTGAACCCAACAATCCAGAGTACTGATCTGACACGTGCAGTATGTCTGTGTACACAGTACTGTGAGTATACAGTGTTCAGTGGTTCCGCAGTAGTACTAACTGCAGCCACAGAGGATTCTTCAAGAGTTTTGCCTTAAGTTAGAAAATACTTCCACGCATCATATATTTATGACTGACTCTGAGGGGAGTCTGCTTTCTGTGATTCTTATTTCCCTCTGCTCCTCAGAACGCCGGCTGAATCTAAGTGTCGCGCCGTGTGAAGCTGATTTGATTTTTTTTATTTTTTTTTTTTATTTTCCCAGACACGAGTTTACAGAAACGCAGATTAAAGAGTTTAAAACAACATCTTAATAAAACATCGAGTAACGCAGAGAAAATGACAAGTGAATTTCAATGATGTACTTTTTGCTCTGCAGGTCAGCAAGTACTGGGGCTGGTGGAGAACCAGAGCGACTGGTACCTGGGGAACCTGTGGAAGAACCATCGACCCTGGCCGGCTCTTGGCCGAGGCTTTAACACCGGTGAGCGCTGTTTTTGTTTGCAGTCATTTTGCCGCTGGTCTTGTTGTCGTCTTCAGCCAGCAGGTGGAAATGAACCGCGTTATTTTTGATTGTGTCTGAGACGAGGATCCGAGAGATCATTTGTGGTGAGAAACGATGGAACAGCGTGAGAACGTAAGCGAGTTTTCTGCCTCCTGAGGAACGTGTATTTGCTCCGACCAAACACTAGGCTGCACCAAACTGCAGGAAGCCTCCCTCGACAACGTGGCTCTGGTCTCTGTGTGGATGTAAATGTTCTCGCTCCTTCACTTATCAAAACAGATTAAAGGAGCGTTACGGCCGACGTGACCTGCTGTGATCCAGGTTCAGAGCTCAGAAAACGTTTGTCACGTGTCACAGTTGGCAGAAGATGTCGCTAAAGTAAAAAAAAAAAGAAAAAAGAAAAACCCCCTTTTTAGACTTTATCCTGTTCGTACTGGAGTCTGAAAGACGTCTTATTTTGAAATATTACTGGATTCTCTTCAAATCGTTGCGGCCTGGTACCAAACAACCCACGGACTGGGACAGGTCCGGGGACCAGGGGTTGGGAACAGCAGCAGTTTGAGATGATGTTGTTTCAGAAAAAGCTTTTTACATTAACTTTATTTTTTAATTAAGTTTCCTAATAATGAGAGGCCGTTATTTACGCACATCTTCAACGACGCCGTCGTCCTTCGACAAAGCAGCGTTTGTGCAGTAGATAAGTTCACGGCCAAAAATAAAAAACAAAAGTGGCAGCCACTCTGACAGACTGTAAATTTATACACAGTGATCGTGTGAAAGTGTAAAAAGAAGTTAACGACTTCTGAGCTGTTTATATAAACGATGTTCACATTTTGGTTTCTGAATTTTTAGTTTAGTTTTTGTAAGTTTAGCTTGATCCTCAAACTCTTCCACTTTTGAGTCTGTAGACCAACGCTGAGAAAACGAAAAAGATTAGAAACAAGTAAAAAAAAAATGCAATGCACAACTATTGCAGCATTTTTCGAAGAGAACAGAGTCAGTTGATGAGGTTCACAGACCACGTCTTTTCGAAGAGAACAGAGTCAGTCGGTGATGGGATTTGACACAGTTCTGACAAAGAGAGGAGATCAGTTTGGTCACAGTTTGACTGGAGATCATTTAGAAGAAAAAAAAGTCTTGATAAAATCGTATCATGAACAAAAAATCCTGAATCATTTTGAACATATTGTAAATAAATAAAATAAAATAAATGTGTACTAAATTGATCCCATATTTGGGAAGTTGTTGTGTTAGCACCAAGCATGTGGTTCCTCTGGGAATCAAACCCAGGACTCTCTGCTTCTAAGGCAGACGTGCTAAACGCTACACTATGGAACCGACAAAAAAAACAAATTGTATCAAGAGTCGTTACATCTCTCTTGTTTCCCTTGTCTTGAAACAAAATAACCAATAATGACAAAATTTAATTCAAAAAAGTCCAAGAACAAACTTGCAAATTTGATAAACTTTCTTCGTTGTGGATCAAATTCAGGACTTTTTAAATAACATTCATAATAAACTAGGACTCAGTTCCACTTCCTGTTCCTGGTACCTGGTCCTCGGGGCCGGTCGGAGCCAAGGAAAATAACATTCCCTCGAATCAAGTTACTGAAACTTTTCCGTCTCTCCACATTCGTCACGTTCAGAAAAACCTGCGTCAGGTTGAAAATCGACGCCCAGAGACGTGAACGCAAACGTTGAAGGACGACGGAGCCTCTGGACCAGTGTTTTACTGAATAAATATATTACAATATATTCAAATTGGGCCTACGTATATTTCTCTCTGAATTAATGAAGGACGTCAGCAGCTGGATCTGATTTAAAGGTTCCCTCCGAGCTTTTTTTTTTTTGTAGTTGACAGCATTAAAAAAGTTTCAGTCTTTACTGATTCAAAAGGAGAAAAAAAAACGGTTTTAAACAAAAAAGTCTTGACAAGTCTGACATTTCAATGAAATTAAAGAATTAAAATAATGATAAAGAATATCACTCATTCATTCTCTGATTGGTTCTGATTGTTTTTTTTTTCATCTAAGTATAAAGAATATCACTCATCCATTTTCTGATTGGGTTTTTTTTCCTTCTAAGATCAAGGCTGGATATTCCCAGGTACCTTGCGATACCCTGCTATCGCGATATTTTCGCAGACAATAAAAAATAATATCGCAATACATCGATTCTGCAATAATCGCAATAAAACAATACATCGTATGTGTCACTGAATCCATTTGACATGAATTACAGCTATTCGTGTTTCTATGGTTCAGTACGTTGTCGTAGGTATATCGTACGGCAAAACAAAATATCACAATATATCGTAGTATCGATATTTTGGCGCATCGGCTGAAAGAACATTTTTTCATCAGTGAAGACCAGCCGTTCACCAGTTTTATTCATCTGAGCAGCAGTTGGTGAGGAGGCTCAACCTGTGGCTCTGCACTCTGTTATTATTCCTGCGGCCTGTAGCGGCGTGTTCCCCGGTCGTATCTCCTCCTGCGGCTGCTCTCTTTATCTCTGCAGCAGAAACGGGTTTGTTTGGAGTCAAACCCAGAACTGACAACGAGAGTTCCAGAGGGAAAATCACCTCCGCGCGTCAGATCCACCGAGGACTCGGCGCTACAGTCAGATCCACCGAGGACTCGGCGCTACAGTCAGATCCACCGAGGACTCGGCGCTACAGTCAGATCCACCGAGGACTCGGCGCTACAGTCAGATCCACCGAGGACTCGGCGCTACAGTCAGATCCACCGAGGACTCGGCGCTACAGTCAGATCCACCGAGGACTCGGCGCTACAGTCAGATCCACCGAGGACTCGGCGCTACAGTCAGATCCACCGAGGACTCGGCGCTACAGTCAGATCCACCGAGGACTCGGCGCTACAGTCAGATCCACCGAGGACTCGGCGCTACAGTCAGATCCACCGAGGACTCGGCGCTACAGTCAGATCCACCGAGGACTCGGCGCTACAGTCAGATCCACCGAGGACTCGGCGCTACAGTCAGATCCACCGAGGACTCGGCGCTACAGTCAGATCCACCGAGGACTCGGCGCTACAGTCAGATCCACCGAGGACTCGGCGCTACAGTCAGATCCACCGAGGACTCGGCGCTACAGTCAGATCCACCGAGGACTCGGCGCTACAGTCAGATCCACCGAGGACTCGGCGCTACAGTCAGATCCACCGAGGACTCGGCGCTACAGTCAGATCCACCGAGGACTCGGCGCTACAGTCAGATCCACCGAGGACTCGGCGCTACAGTCAGATCCACCGAGGACTCGATCTGGAAAATACAGCAAATGTCTCTTCTACTGTACGTACAGTTGGGCCACGTCTTATTAGTGGAACCGGGGAGTCAGGGGGAGTCGGGGGGGTGGGGGGTGTTTTTCTGATCCACTCGGTGTCGGAGCCGGAGAGAGGAGGAAAACAGACACTCACGCTGCTAAGAATAATTTGTGTTTCTTGGTGGGATTTCTACTTTTTCTCCAGTCGGTGTCAGTGTGTCGACAGATCCGACGTTTGACGACGGCATCTGAGGAAACACTGGGCTGTGAACCCACAACACGCAGAGAAATGAATCACGTCGACCAGGCCGCGCTTTTTTTATTTCACCTGCTCTTCTCTACCCTCACCACTAACTCACCGCTTCCTGTGTCTGTGTGTGTGTCTGTGTGTGTGTGTGTGTGTGTGTGTGTCTGTGTGTGTGTCTGTGTGTGTGTCTGTGTCTGTGTGTGTCTGTGTGTGTGTGTGTGTGTCTGTGTGTGTGTGTGTGTGTGTCTGTGTTTCCAGGGGTAATTCTGCTGCTGCTGGATCGTTTGCGAAAGCTCAGATGGGAGCAAATGTGGAGGTTGACTGCGGAGAGGGAACTAATGAGCATGCTGTCCACCTCGCTGGCAGACCAGGTTAGCATCGCTGCACTTCTTACATGCTAATTTATTACCCTTTTAACAGGAAGTTGCCGTTTCACGCACTCGGAAAATCCCAGCAGGAGTCGCACCTTCACTGGGGCTGATTACAGGTTTCAGAGTTACACTGAGGAAAGTGAAGTGTTGACAGTGAGGGATACCCTGGTGGTCACTGGTTGTCATGTCAGGCCACAGGGACCAGAACACACTCTGGAAAAAAAACCTCTTGACAAAATCTGTAACAGTTTGTAACACAGTCTGAATCAGGCGTTGGTAAACGTTTGACTCGCGGCCCACAATTGTCCTAAAATTGAACGGGGGGGGGGGGGGGGGGGAG